GCTTTCATAGTTTGCACTGAAAAGTCAGCTGTAATCCTAATGGGTTTTCCTTTATATATGACTTGTTGTTTCTCTTTTGCAGCTTTCAGTATTGTCTCTTTGTTTTGTACGTATAGTGTTCTTACTATGATGTGCCGTGGAGTTTCTTTTCTGATCCTGTCTGTTTTGTGTTCTATATGGTTCTTGTATTTGTATGGGCATGTCTTTCTTTAATTTTGGGAAATTTTCTTCCACGATTCTGTTGAAGATCTGGTCCATGCCATTATCTTGAGAGTCTTCTCCTTTCTGTATGCCTATGATTGATAAGATTGGTCTTTTTATGGTGTCACAGAATTCCTGCATATTCCATTCTTGTGATTTCTTAAATGTTTCAAATCTTTGCTTGAGTGGCCTAGTTCGTCCACTTCATCTTCCAGTCTTAATACTCAGTTTTCCATTTCATTCATCCTACTGGTGAGGCTTTCTTCTGTCATTTGTAATTGGCTTACTTTGTGTTTCACTTCCTTCTTCATTTCAGCCTGAGTATTCTTCAGTATTTCTAACTCTTTTCTGAATTCATTCAGAAGTTTATCCCTACCTTCCTTCAATTCATTGATTTCTTTTTTTGTGTGTTCCTTAAATTCACTGAATTCTTTTATCATGTTTATAATTATTCTTTTGAGTTCCATGTCCTGCATTATCTCTAGGGGGTTCTCCCTGTACTTCTTTAGAGGACTATTGCTATTTGGTGGCGATATGTTATTTTGGTTTTTCATGTTATTATTTTTTCTCTGTGATTTTGACATGTGAATTTCTTTTGTAGTTTCTGATTCTTGTGTGAGACTCAAGGCTTCAAGTTTAGGTTTGCTTCTTTTTGTGAACTTTATGTGTTTTTGTGGTTTACTTTTGGGGCATGAAAAGCTGGTTCCTCTAACCTTCCCATTCTCTCTTTTGATTTTATATTGGTGGGCCAAATTGCTTTTGTCTTGAGGAGTTCCTACAGAAGCCCAAGTCAGATGAGGATCAGATACTCTCAGGCTTTCTCCTAAGGTCAGGATCCCTCCAGGAAAGAGTTTCGCCTCAGGAATTTGGGGGTTGGACCTGCCTGGGAGAGGAGCCCAGGAAATATGCTGGTCTAGGGCAGCTGGTGGCCGTCCTGCCCAGAGTTGAAAGGAAGATGGGGGCACGAAGGGGCCTCAAGGGCTCCTGTGGACTGCCTTGAGGAGCTGGGTTGGTGTGGATGCAAAGGATCAGGTCAGCCCAGGCATCCAGGAAAGAGGCTGGAAGGTAGTGCAGGCCCAGGGAAGTAGAGGGCGGTGAGGGCGGGCCCAGAGTGCTCCTGGGAATCTGAGGCAGAACTGAGTTGGTCTGGATGCAAAGGATCAGGAAGCATTGATGGTTCCCCAGGTGTCTGGGGTCCCAAGACAGGGAATGGAACAGGACCCAGGCTAGGAGGAGAGACCAGCGTGGGAGATTAGTGTGTTAATGAGGCTGGGGGAGTCAAGGCTCAGAGGGCAGGATCGACTTACCTCAGAGAGAGAGGCCTCCTGGTCGGAGAGAGGTCTGTGGGTTGAGTTCTTTCGTTTTTAAAGCCATGTCTGGGCAAGAAATTTTCCTTGCCGTACAAGTCAAGCTTTCACTGAATACCTTCAGCAGATCAGCTTATGGGACTTTATAATAGTTGTACATAGCTGATTACAGTTCTATTCCTATGCAGGATGACTCTTTACAATCCAAGACTGAATCTACTTGTTTTAATAATTGTATACCAACACGAGGAAGAGCAGGCTAGTATGTATTTTACATATATTCATGTATATTTCACAGCTGTTTATGGTGTAATAAGAAATCGAGGCAACTTTGGAGATGTTACTGTATCCTGGGTGGTTAGTCCAGACTTTACACAAGATGTATTTCCTGTGAAAGGAACTATTTCTTTTGGAGATAAGGAATTTTTAAAATATATCACCATTTACTCCCTTCTTGATGAGGTAAGGACTGCAAATATAAACTTTCACTTGACTTGTAATTGCTTAATCATAAGTTTTGGCAGTTATTTGTTTGGTTTATCTTTTTGTGATGTTTGTCATCAAACCCAGGGCCTTTCCATATCTATCACTGAGCTACGCCCCCAGCTCATTCATTATTTTTATTAAATAATTAAATATCTGATAATATTCTGGTTGATTAAAGTATGTGATAAAGAGCTCTGGTGTGACATTGATTGACTATAAGGCAAAAGAACAATGCCATTTTAGGAGTTCATTAAAAACATTCGTATTTTTACTCTCACAATTTATGTCCATTATATTTCAAGTATTAGGGATTCAGAGTTGTGAGATGAACTGACTTGTGCTTAGGCACTTTGAAGAGAAGCCATCTTGAAGGAATTCTATGGCATATTCTCAACATCAGGACCCAGTACATAGGGACCATGAGCCCAATGTAGTGATGCTTCATCTTATTTCTGTGGTACATTTTTAGCATCAGGACCCTGGTCATAGGGAGCCCAGCGTGGTGGTGCTTCATCTTGTTGACAGTAAAGAGAACTTTCCCAAAATGGAGGCTTAACCTTTCTCAGGGGGCTGCATAACTATAAAGGCTTGTACTTTTCCCTTAGAACTGTCCCTCAAGAGACAAAATTCCACTATTTTTTTCTGTTTTGGAATGGGGAGAAGACTGCCTCACGCAGATAACATGAAAGAGAAATAATGTCCATCTGGGGATATACAGACTCAGAAATAGGGCTCATCTTCCAATGGGACATGGAAGTAAGGTCTTCTGACCTGGGCATAGAAAACTTTAGTGACCATTTTAGAGGCCTTGGAGAGCTAACTGGGCCTAGTAACTGTTAGGGGTTCTGAGGGTGGTATATTGTTTCTCTGTTCAGTTTTTTTTTCTTATAGTTAACTTGTTTCCTTTTTTTGTACAGAAATGATATAAACTATATGGTATGGCTATGTTTTCCTTATGTAAGGCAAAATATCTATATTCTTCATTATATTTTATAGTCACAAAAAAGTGACTGTTTGGATGAATGATATTAAAATAATTTTAGGGGAGTCTGAATCTCATAGGAATGCTTTTTAAGAAGCTTTTGCCTTAAAAATGAAAATAAATATTGGTACTATTACTTGAGCTTTTTTGTTGTTTTGTTTTTTATCTAGTCCCCAGCTGGACTAGAACTCACTATGTAGACCAGGGTGGACTCAATCTTACAGAGATCCACCTGCCTCTGCCTACTAAGTGCTGGGATGAAAGTCATGCATTACTTGAATTTTTTTTTTTTTTAAGAAGTAATCTCATAGGCATATATGATATAAGTATATAAATATAATTAACTTGACTTACAGTATGTATTGTTTGCCAAAAGATTCCAGAGGAAATGGAGGAATTTTCTATTACCTTACTTAATGCCACTGGTGGAGCTGAAGTAGGAAACAGAACAACTGCCACCCTCAGGATTCGAAGAAATGATGACCCCATTTATTTTGCAGGTGGTATTGCTTCCTGGATTGAGTGGGTTTATATCTTTCTTAAACTCTTAATTCTCTCTTAAAAAGAATTATTGACTGAAAACTTTTAGTAATGTAATCAATGCTATTTAAATATAATTTCATGATTCATTTTATGGTTATATTCAGTGGTTGAGTTTAAACACATTCATCTTAAAAAGCTGAAACAAAATGTAAATAGTGTAAGGAATTTGGTTAGCTTTACTCCCTCCAAGGCGTTATCCTTTCTTTGTGCAGAGTAGAACGTGCTTCCTTGTGATCTCTTCTAAGAGTCCAAATCGATTCAGGGCTTGCTGTTGTTCCTAATGGTGGCCACCTGCCATAGTAACTGATGCTTAGTGGATACATTAATTGAGTATTCTCCATTTTTGCCATTTTATTTCCTTCTTTTCAACTATCTTTGCCCCCCTGAAGCATCTCTTAAGTTTGTTCATAAAACTTAGATTTCTAATTCTCGTAAACCTCTTTTTTATAAGCTGTATATGTGTGTGTATATTATATACACACACATCTACATCTACATCTACATCTACATCTACATCTACATCTACATCTGCATCTACATCTGTGAAGTTGTTGATGTAGGCACTTCCCGAACCTCTTGGATTTTATTTATTTCATTATTAGCCCTCAGGTAATAGGCAGTTAATGAATTATTCTTATGTGTAGCATTTTGCTAACTCTTGTGGCAAAATAAAGCAAGAGATAGCTGGGTCTGTTTTCAGAGAACTAACTTTCAACATGTGGCATATTAAAGCAGTAGGCAAAAAGTTCAAATCCTATGTAATTTACTGACAAATTGGACTTCTTTGGGCATTCGGCAAGGAGGAGGTCAGTGACTCTTAAAATAATCAGAGGGTCTCATGTCAGAGGGGAGCACAGCTGATTCTTTAAGCAAAAACTGCAGGATAGGGTTTTCTTGTGGATGGCAGGGATAAATAAGAGTGATCTGAAAAGATGTGAATGGAATCGGATAGGCTCATGTGCTCCTTTTCTCTATGTGTTTCAGAACCTCGAGTTGTGAGGGTCCAGGAGGGTGAGACTGCCAACTTTACAGTTCTCAGAAATGGATCTGTGAGTGTGACCTGCACTGTCCAGTACGCCTCCATGGATGGAAAGGCTTCAGCACAAGAAGGAGACTTTCTTCTTGTTGAGAAAAGAGAAACCCTTGTGTTTGAGGTTGGAAGTAGAGAGCAGAGTATATCTGTATATGTTAATGAAGATGGAATCCCAGAAACAGATGAACCTTTTTATATAATCCTTTTTAATTCAACAGGTAAATAAACGCTATTGTTATGGTTGATCTGTCCCTTCATCATTGGCTGAGTAGTTGTACCAGCTAGACCTTTACTATCTTCTGGGACTGCTCATGAGGAAAATTGTTTGCTTTGTTGCCTTCTTGAGTAATGGGATGAGAGATTGCTGTTGAACCTTCATGTGCTATGTAATTAACTTCTATTACTGTGATAAAATTCTGGGAAAGTCAAATTACAAGAGAGATTTATTTGGGTTCATAATTTCAAGAATTTTAGTCTGTGGTATCTCATCTACATTGTTTGAAGCTTGAAGTGAGCCTTCAAGCATCGAAATCAGGAAGGTAACACATGAGTGCAGTCATCATCTCTGTCTTCATTCAGATTTCTTCAGTTGTCCCAGTAATGTCCTTTTTAGCAAAATGATCATTTTGTAGCATTCCTCACTGGAGTGAATTATGCATTGCATTTAACTATAATGTCCCTCTAATCTCTTCAAACTGAAGAATTTTCTTGGTCTTTCTTTATGATCTCAGCAGTATAAAACCACAAGCTAGAATGTCCCTGTTTTTTTTTCACTTGAAAAAATAATTTATTTAGAATTTCATACATGCATATAAGGTGTTTTAACCAAATCCAGGCCCACCCCCTCCCCTCCAACTTCTCCCATATCGCCCCATCACTTTTTTTCTGATAAGTTCATGTACTCTTTCTTCTTTTATTATTATTATTTTTTTGTCTTTTTGAGACAGGGCTTTATGGGGCTTTTTGCTACCCGAACATACTCTAACATTCCCCCCTCTGAAGAGGTAACCCTAAAATCTTTTAAGTATTAGATACAAGCTTCCAAATACTTTTGACGTTTTTGGGCTTGGAACAGAGTATGTTGCTCACAGGCCCAAGAACATTTTGACTTTTAGCCAAGAAATTGGCTATATTTCTTTGGGGTATTTTTACCCTAACTGCCTAGCCAGTTCCTACCTCCTATTCTTATCACGCCATCCTCTGAAGGGGTTACTCAAATTGCCAATAGGGAATAGGGACGCCGACTGCTCTGGCTTCTTACATGTTGAACAAGGACGCAGGGTAAGGCAATTGGAGTACCCCTTCAGTGGGTCTATCTAAAAGACTTCCAAATTGCATAACTCTTGTCTCTAAGGGGAGAAGAAAGTCCTTGAATCATGAATGGGACATGTGAAGAAGTAAAAGCAAGAGTAATTAGCATTACAAGTTCTAGACAGGGAACTAGAAAAAAGTCAGAACAGGGCA